TATATATATATATATATGAAACTAGAAATGGAATATTATTGATGATAACATGCATGATTAAGCCACTATGCAGTTTATTCTAGATGGGAAACCACATTTAGTATGTTGTCACGATGCTCAGGGAATGAATGTAAATTATTAAAAAAAAATTACAGGAGGAAAAAACCCACTAAAATTGTTCTTATCGAAATTTTTAAAAATGTGTATTTGATGACTGCAGTAAGCTATATAGCCCCAGCTAGGTACTACTTTATATTATGTTCCTTGTACTCACTGAGGTTTATGCCTAAAGTCAGACTTGGGTTCATGTATATGTATATATCAGCTGTATGTGCTATTGGAAATATTTAGACTAATTAAGTTCATTAGCAAATCAATTAAATGGGGGGAGAGGCATAGAAAGCAACCATGGATACCAGAGACAATGTGGGAGGAGGGTGGAACACAGCAGAGGGTGAGGGATAGGGAATCAAGGATGGCAAAAAAATAAAAAGAAAAGGAAAATATACAAGACATAAGAAATGGAAAGTTATTTGTTGATAACATGTATGTTGATGTGCTTGATTGAGCCAATATACAGTGTATTCTAGATGGAGCATTCATTTTGTATACTGTAATGATGTATAGTCAATTAATGTAAAAAAATAAATTAAAAGAAAAAAGTTAAAAGAAAATTTACAGAATGAATGAAAAATATTTGCAAAAATTATTTTTGATGTAGGGCTTACATCCAAAATAATAAAAACATTTCATAACTCAATAATAAAAAGATAACTGAGTTAATAAATGAATAAAGACTTTAAATACATACTTTTCTATAAAACATAGAAGTGTTCAATTAGCACATATACAGATTCTAAACATCATTTATCACTAGGGAAATAAAGATCAAAACCAGGAGATACTACTTTATACCCACTAGGATGGTGCTATGGGTTGAAGTCTCTCACTAAAATACGTATGTTGAACTTCTATTCTCAGTTCCTTAGAACATGACCTTATTTACAAATACAGTTGTTTTGTATGTAATTAGATAATGTAGAGATGGGCTCAATCTGTGTTCTGATAAATCCTCCAGGCAATTCTGATATAAGGTTAGGTTTGAGAATCACTGGATTATATATAAAATATGAAGTGTTCAACAGGAGTTTTTTTCCAATTTCTGATCAGGACATTTCACCTTTACCCGCACTTGCTTTTGAAAGCTGTGCCAGAAAACCATTATCCATCTGGCTTTCTCTATAAATTATACATTTAAGAAAAACGAGTTATTACATTATGTATTTCAATGTCAATCAAAATTTATGGGGCACCCTTCTGGGTAGCTTAGAGAAAAGGTGTTTGGCTTCTATTCCACTTTAGGGGATCATATTTTAATTCCATTAATTAATGTAGTGGCCTCAGAAACTTCTTATCCCAGATTTCAACCCCCTTATAAAACTTGACTACCTCCTTCCTTAGCAGCATCTGCAAGATTTGAGGCAGATAAAGAGGTAAGAATAAGAGAATTTTCCATCGTAAAAGATCTGGAAAAGGACATTAACATGAACTGAGAACCTATCTAAAAGTACCAGATAAGCTTGTGAGTGTATTTTTTATTTAGTTACAAAAACTACTGAGTCTCATAGAGAACTGATAAGCTTCCAAAATTATTTTGATGCTTCTGAAGAATGTAGAGCCTAGTTCAGGGCCAGCAAGTGGCATAAAGGTTAAGGTGCTGGACTCCCACATGGCAAACTGCAATTCAAATCCCAGACCTGGTAGCTAGCTTTTCTCGCCTTTCTCTGTTTTGCTCTGTCTGTCTCTCTGTGGTGAGCACATGTATCCTAGAGCAAATTTAAAAATAAAAATAATAAATTAAATTTTAAAAAAGAATGTAAACCCCAGTTCAAAAAACAGTATCTTAAGTAGTCAAAAAAATCTACACTAAAAATTTATGAGTTCAAACCCTTATCTCTCACCACAAACAAAAATTCAAAATGGATTGAGGATCAGGGCCAGCAGGTGGCATGGTGGTTAAGGGTGCTGGACTCTCACATAGTTGACCACAGTTTGAGCCCTGGGCCCAGAAGCTTGCTTTCTCACTTCCCCTCCCTCTCTCTCACTCTGCCCCTCTCTGGTCAAATACACACACACACACACACACAAATAAACACACATATGTATATATATATATAAATAAATAAAGTTAAAATAATTCTTTAAATAAATGGACTGATGATTTAAACATAAAACTACTGGGGGAAAACTTTTGGAGACCTTGAAGTAGGCAAAGACTTCTTCTTCTTTTTTTTTTTTTTTTTAAATCTTTTCTACTATTTTCACAAAATGCTTACAAATAAAGGAATCTGGGCAAAAACCTACCAGTACAGTCAGGATGCTACGGAACACTGAATCCTTGCTCTCAACTCCAGCAGTGGCTTCCCCTGTCCTAGCGGGTGCCTCCTGTCTTTCTTTTTTTTTTTTTTAATTATTTTGTTTAACTTTATTTATTTTAATTTGACCAGACAGACAGAGAGAGAGAAGGGGGGGCGGACTGAGAAAGCAAGCCACCAGGTCTGGAACTCAAACCAAGGTTGGCCATGTGGGAGTCCAGCACTCTTAACCACACCACCTGCCGGCCTTCCTCCTATTTTCCTGGCACCTGTCAGACTCTCAGCCCTCATGTGGAAGGGTGGAGCATGGAGAGAGACACGGTGTGTGAGTGAGAGAGCGAGAGGGAGCATGAGAGAGAGAGTGAGTGAGTGAGTGTGGGGTTAGCAAAGGCAGACAGGGAGAACTCAAAAAATCCTCTTCCAAGCAATGGGCACGAGGCCATGAGGACGAGCCCCAGCTCTGGGGTGCTCTCGGAGGTCTGCAGAGCTGCAGAGCTGCACTGTCACAGTGGTCCTGGGGCCAGTGCTGGAGGCTGGCTCACAGGTGAAGAGAGAATGGGTTTTCCCAGAGGAGCACGACCCCCAAGGCCCTTTTTCCTAAGGAAAGTCCCGGCTGCCTACAGGCAGACCCTGCAGACAGTTTTATTCCCTACAGAATCAGTCAGTGCCCATCACGCTCCCGTCTCACTGGCAGCAAAGTAAACAGCCGTCTCTCCAGAGGGTGGGGGCAGTGCTGCGTGGTCCACTCGGGACCCGGAACATGCCGAAGGCCTCCAGCTCTGAGTCCCCATCAGTCGTTGTCATCATCCTCTGATTCTTCTGCCGACTCTGACGCACTCTCTGGCATGTCGTCTCCCACTTGCTGGAACCTTTCTGACTGTGCATCCCACACGTACTTCATGATGACTTTGAATTCGGCCATCTCGTACCCAAAAAGCTTCAGGACCCGGGCCTGCTCCGGCGTCAGCACGTCGCCCTCCTTGCACGTCGCCCTCCTTGCACACCGCCCTCCTTGCACATGTCGTAGTCTGAGAGCTGAGTCACCACACCTCTCCTGAGGGCGGTGGGCAGGCCCAGCTGCCTCAGCTGCAGCTCCATGGAGTGGGGGAACTGCTCCAGGGGCTCTGGATCCAGGCTCACAGTGAAAGCTGCTTTGTTCCCAGCTCGGGCATAGTCCATTTCTGCATATTTCGTGAACCACTCGTTCACCTCCTCCTTAGTGCAGTTGGTGAAAAGGACACCGACTTCACCCCGCTGCTTCTTGCTGACCTGGTGCAGGTTGTCTCTGTATTCGTCAGCTGGTCTTCGACCCAAGACCACCATCATCACCTTGTTTTTCCCAAAGAACATCTGACTGTGCTTCCTGGTGTTCCGGATGTCCTTCAGCTTGCTGTTCCTCATGTTGGCCACAGAGAAGGTGAAGAGGTACTTGTATGTGTCCACACATTTCTGAAGCTCTTCTATAAGGTTCTGTTTTAGTTCCAAGCCTTTCTTGGCAGTTTTGGTTAAGGAAACTTTATCGTGCTTGGATTTGGGCATCACGCTGAAACCTCGTGTGGAAGTAGGCAAAGACTTCTTAAAGAAGACCCCCCCAAAGCACAGAAATAGTTCCCAAAATAGAAAAATGAGACTGTATTAAGCTGAGAAGCTTCTGCACAACAAAAGAATCAATAATTAGAATGAGAAGACAACCCTCAGAGTGGGAGAATGTATTTGCAAATATGGTAGGGACAAGTCTGGACATACCAATAATAACATTGAATGTTAATGGATTAAATTATCTAATCAAGAGACACAAGCTGGCTGAATGGGAAAAAAAAAAAAAAAAACAGAAATCCCCTATCTGTTACCTACAAGAAATGCACGTTATGAATAAAGACATACAGAGACAAAAAATGAAGAACTGGAAAAAGGTATTCTATGTAAATGGAAACCAAAAAAGGGCTGGAGTACGGATACTGATTTCAGACAAAATAGGCTTTAAGACAAAAACTGTAAGAAGAGACAAAGTACAGTAGTACATAGTAGTAAAAGGGCTAATACAAGAGGATAGAACACTTACAATTATCTATACACCCAACTCAGGAGCACCCAAATAAGTGAAGGAAAGACTGCTAGATCTAAAAAGAGAGATAGACTATCAAAATAATTGTTGGGAATCTCAACATTCCATTATCTCCTTTAGACAGATCATCTAGACAAAAAATAAGACCCTACAGGACCTAAATGATACCATAAATCAAATGGACTTGACATCTATAGAATCTTTCACTCAAAACCCACAAAATAAACATTTTTCTCAAACACCATGGAAACCTTTTCGAAGACCACAAGATAGAGCACAAAACAAGCCTTTACAGATTCAAAGACATGGAAACTATATCCAGAATCTTCTCCATGATGAAATTAGACTTGATATTAATTTCAGGAAAAATCCTTGAAAATACACAAACATATGAAAATTAAACAACCTATTCCTGAATGATTTCACAACTACCGAAGAAACCCAGACTGAAATCAAAAGATTCATGGTAACCAGTGATAATGAGTACACAAGTTTCTATAATCTACAGGACACAGCAAAAGCGGTCATAAGAAGAAAGTTCAGGGACCAGCAGTTAGTATAATGGCTATGTAGCTGGACTCCCATGTAGTCGACCACAGTTTGAGTCCCAGACCCGGTGGCTTAAACTCACGCCAAGCACATGTGTGTGTGTGTGTGCCCCCAAGATCCCGAGAGGAGAATGGAGGAGAAGGGATTGTGGCATGGCCATCCCCACTGGGGGGTGATTTCTTGCTTTCTATCTCTCTGTTCTCTCTGTCTTTCTGGCGAGCGCATGCGTCCTATAGCAAAAACATCTCCAAAAAAATAAAAAATAAATTAAAAAAGAGGGAAGTTCATAGCAAGTAGTGCACAAGAGCACATAAGAAAAGGATGGAGAGGTAGCAAGTGGACAGCCTAACATCATGCCTCAGGGAATTAGAAAAACAACAATAAAAAAATGCCAGGAGAAAAGAAATAATAAAGATTAGAACATGAAGAAAATGAAGTAGAGAATAAATGCACTATAATACAGAAAATAAATAAAACCAAAAGCTAGTTCTTTGAAAAGATAAACAAGATTGACACATCACTAGCTAGACTAATTAAGAAGAGAAAGAAGGGAACCAGATAAATCAAATACACAATGAAACAGGCAATATTACACCAGACATAATAGAAATACAAAACATCATTAACAGATACTATGAGTGCCTATACACCGAAAACAAGAAAACCTGGATGAGATGGACAAATTTCTGGACCCATATAATAATCTACCAAGATTGAATCAGAAGGACACAGAAAGCCTGAATAAACCCTTAACAAAGAGATAGAATCAGTTATAAATAACCTACCAACAAAGAAAAGCTCCAAGTCCTGATGGCTTCACTTCTGAATTCTACAAAAATTTTAAAAAAGAGGTAACCTCCATTCTACTCAAATTATTTTTTCAAAGAATTATTTTATTTAACTTTATTCATTTATTGTAATTTGATCACAGAGAGAGGGAGGGAGGGGGTGGAGAGAGAGAGGGAGAGAGAGAGAGGAGAGACAAGAGAGAGAGAGAGAAAGCAGCAAACTGCCAGCTCTGGTACTCAAACCGCAGTTGACCATGTAGGACTCCAGTGCCCTCAACCACCACACCACCTGCCAGCCCCCTACTCAATATATTTCTAAAGATCCAAAAGGAAGAAACCCTCCCAAATTCATTTTATGAAGCCTCCATCACTCTCATCACCAAAGCAGATAAGGACATGACAAAAAAGGAAAACTCCAGATGACTATCTCTGATAATTATAGGTACAAAAATTCTCACCAAGATACTAGCAAATCATATCCAACAATATTATCATGACCACATGGGCTTTATTCCAGGGACACGAGGGTGGTTCAACATACACAAAAACCATAAACGTAATACACCATATTAACAGAAAGAAAGATTTTAAAAATACAGTCATTTCAATTGATGCAGTAAAAGCATTCAACAAAATACAACATCCCTTCATGATTAAGATTCTCATCAAAATCAGCATAGAAGGATCATTTCTCAACACAATAAAAGTCATCTATGAAAACTCTATAGCTAACATTATACTGAATGGGGAAAACCTAAAAGCTTTTCCACTAAAAATTGGTACAAGACAAGGATACCCACTCTCTCCACTCCTTTTCAATATAGTACTGGAAGTGCCAGCCAA